TCTACCTTGTGATCTTCACAGCAGTTAATGCAATCATTTGTCGTTCTAAACTATCGAATCCTACAAATCAGTGTATATGATTATACTTTTTGTCAGAAGTCAGTGTCTTTTATTCAGCATTTCTATCTAATGGCGCTGGTAAATGCAGTATGTTTAACATCACCCCAGACCGTATAGTTATAGCATTGTATCCCTATTCGAGAGCGAGCATGGTGATTATACTATATCTAGTCCTTGTGATCATCATCATCATCATCATCATCATCATCATCGTCATTCTTGTAATCATCATCATCATCATCATCATCATCATCATCATCATCATCATCATCCTCGTGATCTTCATGATCATCACCTTCCATCATTTCCATCTCCTCCTCCGACATGGCAGGAGCAACACACACATTGACAGGGCAGCTGGTTGTACGAAACAAAAAAATCAGTTTATTTAGGCGGTTATATACAGTACATAGTCAGTATGGTATTATATATTTGCAGGAATAAAAAAGAGGTAATGGAATGTACATGTTTTTGGAGTGTAAATAGGCTATAACGATACCCCAATATGTTATTCCAAATAGTAGATGTATCCTCAAAAGAAATTACCTGTCGACGTGCTTTCTTGGTGAGCCCACCGGGCAATCTTCCAAATCGTCCTCAGTGAATTCGCACTCCGGGTCACAGATACACTCGCCTGTTACACAGCCTACGCTGTCAAGTTCAGGTACTTCTCCATCTTTGCACATCAAATCAGCGTACTCTTCGTTTGCCCCCACGCAATGGTCTCTTCTCTTCAAGGAATGTTTTCCAACGGAGTTGGCAAGAACCATTGCTAGCACCAAGGCTAGTATAGCGGAAAAGAATGCCGCCTTCATGTTGATCCGAATAGAGTTGTTTCTGATTACTACTGCTTTGTTTATAAATAGGCTGTGTTGTGATATAGCATGTCTTTTACCTCTTTATTTATACTCTAGTATCCACGGAATATTATACGTGTAGTTGAAGAACTTTCACATGCATCATTTTCTATAGAGCTGCTATCGGCAAGCCAAACATCTCGAAAGGAAGGGGTATGATATTCTTATCTCTCCTCAACTTTATGCAGCGTTTCCTCTAAAAGGTGATAATATCTAGATCTATTTGGCTTTTTTTGTCAGTTGACCAAGCAGCATGCTACGTAGGCATTTCAGAGTGATAAGGATTGAGTATGGAACATGACAGCATAATAATTGTTTAGTGCTTATGTTACCCAACACATTACACAACAGTACAATAGTGAGTAGAGCGGCGATAAAAGAGGAGATACGCCGGTCACATGTGCAAACTTAAAATTACAATAGAGTATTTAGTATATATTTTTATATATTGAAAATACATGATCAGGTTGTTTTTAATTTCCATGTACTTTCAAGAAAAACAAATACTTCGCATCATTGCATTCTTGTGTTGAAAACAATCTTTCAGCTTTTCTATGCAAATTCACATTTATTTCAGTTAATCATGGCTCTCTCAGTGACTCGGTCCTATCTGGAGACTGGAAATGTTATGGTCAAAGTCAATTCTCCATTCGGTCAAACTCCAATTTTCCCTTTCAGTCTGATAGACAGACAGACAGACTGACTGATCACTGACAATGTGGAGACAGACTATGCTTGTTGAAAAACTGAAAATCAAAACAGAGAACTTTTCATTTTTTGATGATTTTAATCGTAACAAAATCCAGAGCGCCGTGAATCTTTCATATGCTTTGTAACAATCTACCATATATGGCAGGTATTTATAGAAACCAAATGCCAGCCTCAGGACAAGAACTTGGTCTCTTCTCATTGCTCAATATTTAAAAATATGAAATATCAGAAAATATCATGTCATACATATGTATGTATTTTCTGTTTTTTAAAAAAACAAATGCTTTTATGTACTCTTATCCTTTTTGTTTCTAAAAGCAAATCAAAAACTGTAAACGACACCTGAATAACCTGAGTCCTGGCAGGCTGGCACCCAAACTTGGCACTGCCGGAGACTAAATAAGTAAATACATACCCAATGTGCCTGGTGCCCAGTGCCCAGTGCCCAATGCCCCCCCACATTTAAATTTGGAGACATTGCTGGCTGGGTATTTGTATAATGTGGTCTGTAAGTTTGGGCCTGTATGTAGGATTGTGGGCTGTGGGCCTGTGGCCTGTGGGGTGTTGGGCGTTGTGGGCTGAATATTTAAATAAATATGTACATACTCACATTGCCCATGAGTTTTTATTTTAAAACAAAAAGTGTAAACAGTGAAAACAGTGAGCAAACAGTGAAATTGTGCATAGTGATTCTGAAATCTGAATACATATGTACATATGTAGTCCATATTTTTTTCAAACCACAATAGAGTTTTAAAAATATTTAAATAAATTCCCGATGCTGTGATGAATCAAGGAGTCGTTTGTGGGTATTTTATTTTTACATATTATTAGTTATGTTTTATTAAAAATAAAGATATACTGTACATACATACATAATTATATATTTATATTTGCATACATCATAGCCTTCAAAATTAAGCAAGCCTTTGTTTGCCGCCCTTTATTTTATTTTATTTTAATCTACGCCCTTCGCTGCTCAGTGAGCGACTGAGAGTCCAAAGAGACAAATGGCAATAAGACATCCATCCAGTAGTCAAAATTTTTATCTGAAATTCTAAAGTATTCATGATGTAATAATTAGAGTAAAACACATAGTCAAAATAGTCTTGGACCTCTCATGCAATCTTGTTGGATTGTGTTGTTTCCAGTAGTTGTGATTTCTGGTGTAAGAAAACTGGTTGGGTATGTATGATACTGGATAGATTGATAGATTGATAGTATTGCCAGTTTGTCACAAACGCATGAAAGAACTGTAAAACATTTGAGTGATAAAGCAGAGCAGTGTATTTTCGAACTCTAAAGAGGCATTTTTGCTTTACATACTCATGACTCAATGCTTGTGAAGCACACCATTAGACGCAGCTAAATATTTATACTCTGTTGTAGACATCGATATGAACACGAGATTATTTCAATGTTCAACGATTTTTAAATGGGACGTCGGCGTTGGAGTTGATTTTTCATCTGTCAGGTTAGTTTAGCCTGCAACCGTAATACATTTTGTACATCTATTATGAAATTTAAGTGGTCAACTTCACACCATTGCGGAAAATGTCTCAAATTTCTCGCAACGGATACATGAATCTCTGAACATGCTAATGCTTGATAATTTCGTGACAGTCTACCATACATGACAAAAGCTAACCAGCAAGACGAAAGAAGTGATAAGTTCAGAGTAAATAAGAATCTGTTGCAGTTTAAATCAGGCAGATAAAACATTTAGTGCGAAAATGTCACTTTGTATCTAATTTCTAGCCCATTATTGAAGGGCTTCGCATTTCCCTCGTTTCATATATACAACATGCTTATAAACATCTAATTGGGCGTCACACAGTTACACAAACGCACACTCGCAAGGGGTCATATTTTGAAATTATTTCAAAATGGGTTGTTTTAAAAATAAAAAAAGATAGCAATTTATACACTCACCTGGAGTCTGGAGACTTGGTCTTGAAGTCCTGGACATATTTAATTTTATTGACGTTTGTGAATAGTTGTGAATACTGAATACATACCGAATTTAGATTTACTCTATTTATTACATAATGATTAATGAAAGCATCATGAATTCTGAATTTATGATTCATACAACTTGAGAATTTACGATAAATACAAAATCAGAAATCTAAAAATCAACTTCATAGATCGGATGACTAAGGACAATTGTATAATATTTTATTTATAAATAAAAGGCAGAATATTTTTACTCGTATGTATGCAATCTCTTTTGTTTCTTGGGCTCAAGCCTCAAGAGTCAAGGCCTCCAGCTAATCCAGTAATCCTAAATCTCAAATCTCAAATTCTCCTCTAGAGAGAGAGTAGACTGCTTGTACACTGACTGAACGGTGATTGCTGATCAGTCCTCACTTTCTCAGACTCTCACTCAGAGTCAGAGTGATTCGAACTCGTTAAAAATAACCCAGGACTCATATCTCTCGACCCACCGGGGCACCGGTCCCACGACCCACCCTCTATTGCAATAAAAGTTGAGAAAAAAAAATCTCACTGACTGTCTCACATTCTCACTCACAGACTCACAGACTCTCCATGACACTCTCAGACTCCTCACTCCAGTACATATTTATTTGTGTTCGAATCAGAAACCGTTTCAAACCTGAGAGGCTGAGGCCGCTGAGGCCCGGCCCGAGAGGGGCCGAGGGCTGAGGTCTGAGGATTGAGTGTACAGTGAGCCTACATAGAGGCATTTTATAAATACCTGCCAAATATGGTAGATTGTTACACTTATACAAAATGTACGAAAAATCGCAGACGAAATTCGCAGGGAATACTCGTGTGTAAGTACCCAGAATTTGGGAAATAGGATTAAATATCGTATATCGTCATTTTCAAGATTGTTTGTATGTATGCATCATGTGAGAAGTAATTTAACCTTATTCTCTTGCACATGCGACCAGTGATAAAAGAGCAGCTGCTCTTTTTTCCCTGTGTTTCAACTTTCAAGCAATTGAAAATTGGAACATTTTCCGCACTCGTTCCTGATCACTTCGCATTGCGTACAATATATTAAAAAAAGAGAGCTATGTTGCTTGGTCAAAACTAGAGCTAGGACCACCAGACAAATAGATCCAGATACTATCTTTGTTGCCTTTTCTGTATAACCAGGGCTTGGACAAAGATGAGGTGACACCTTTTTGTATCGAAATGTTTGGCTTGCGGTAGCACAGTTCCATAGAATATCATGCATGTGAATGTACTTCAACTACACGGATAATATTCCGTGGTTATTCGAGTATAAATAAAGAGGCAAAATACATGCTATATCACAACACAGCTTATTTATAAACAAAGCAGTAGTAATCAGAAACAACTCAGTTCGGATCAACATGAAGGCGACATTCTTTTCCGCTATACTAGCCTTGGTGCTAGCAATGGTACTTGCCAACTCCGTTGGAAAACATTCTTTGAAGAGAAGAGATCATTGCACGGGGGCGAACGAAGAGTACGCTGATTTGATGTGCAACGATGGAGAAGTATCTGAACTTGATGGCGTAGGTTGTGTAACAGGCGAGTGTATCTGCGACCCGGAGTGCGAATTCACTGAGGACGATTTGGAAGATTGCCCGGTGGGCTCACCAAGAAAGCACGTCGACAGGTAATTTTTGAGGATACATCTAATATTAGGAATAACATATTGAGTATCGTTATAGCTTATTTACACTTCAAAAACATATGATAGGTACATTCCATTACTTTTTATTTATTTCCGCAATATTTAATACCATAATGCCTATGTACTGTATCCAACCGCCTGAATACACTGGTTCTTTTGATTCACACAAACAGCTGCCCTGTAGATGAGTGTGTTGCTCCTGCCATGTCGAAGGAGGAGATGGAAATGATGGAAATGATTGAAGATGGTGACATGGAAGGTATGGATATGGAAGGCATAGATATGGAAGAGATGAAGGATATGATGAAGGATGATGATGATGATGATCATAAAGATCACGAGGATGATGAGGAGGATGATGATGATGATGATGAAGATTACAAGGATGACGATGATGATAACGATGATGATCATGAGGATCACGAGGACTAGATATAGTATTGCCAATCTCCTTGCTCACTCTCGACTAGTAATTCAATGCTATAACTATACGGTCTGGGGAGATGTCAAACATAATGCGTCTACCAGCGCCCTTAGGGTCGTTTTAGATATAAACGTTCAATAAAAGACAAAGAATTCTGAAAAAAGTATAATTTCAAAATCACCGTACTGAATGTGAATAATAATTATTAGTAGAAAATTATTGCTTATGTCAGTCACGAATAATCATAAATACTTAGTTGTAGAATTCGATAATTTAGAATGATAAATGATTGCATTAACTGCTGTGAAGCCCGTAGCATTGAACGTGAGCCTCGTGAACGCTTTGAACCAAGCTTTATAAAGCAGCTAGGTAACGCGAAGGCTGAGGTCGATTTTAAAATCATTGCTATAGTCATACGGTTCGAGGAGGTATGGAATACATTGTTTCTACCAGCACCATAAATACTGAATAAATGTCTATTGCAAAACCACCATAGTGAAAGTGAATAGCAGTTATTTGAGTGTAAGTTTATTACACCGGCTGTATTGCCACGAATGATCAGAAATACCGAGTTGTGGGGTTTGTTAGTTTATTGCGACAAATGATTGCGTGAATTGCTGAGATTGCAAATGATTGTGTGAATCGGTCGAATTGAGCTGAGCATGACTATCTTATACCAGATAATACGCTACGGTGCTTTATTGTGCATACGTCCCTATCTACTGGTGTATCTGTTCTAAGTGCGGAATTCGGGAACCATCTCCAATTCCATTAAAATATTCAGACGCATTGTAATACATCTCCATTTATAGTTTGATTTTTAGACAATGTAGTCATAGTAGTACGCTCATTAGGTAGACATGATGCAATTTAAAGGGGGGTTTGTCCACAAGAGATTGTGGCAGCGGTGAGGTCCGATTGTTATAGTACCTGTCTTATATATATCAACCGATGATGCTTTGGAAGTCATTTTGCTGCACCATGGTGAATGGGCGTGAGATACGATGAACGCAACAACGAGGCTTGAGGATCACACACTATATGGAGTGTTATAGATACATATAGCCAATGTTTGCTACTATTGGCAACTATCAGAGGGTCAACGCGCACTATATTTTACGAGCGGTATGCCGGTTCAATACCTGCGGGACGGGTTTTGATTGTCAGGGTTGTTCGTAGGGTATGGCTACATATGTGGCCCTGTCCTCCAGGATAGCATGGTAGCCGAACGGGGACAGATAAATAACCAGCACAAAATATATGTCCACGATGAACTGGAATCGTGAGTGCATGGATGGCAGATATACCATCAATAACAGTATGTCCTTGACATGATCGTGATTTCCCTTGGATGAGTACATATTTCACGCTCATCCTCTGGCTATTTACAGACACTGTCAGGTGTCAGTAGTTGTTGCATAACAAGTCGGGGCAAATGAAATTTGAGGAGCTTGTCACATACAATTATTTGAAAAATAGGTACAATGCCCAGCTGACGGCTGGTAATATACCAATTGAGTAATTTCCCATAATAAACTATTCATGTCAATGTAGTACGTGCACTAATCATATTACCAGGTTGCTCTTGAGACAGAGGGGGTTCATTTCTTCCATCTGAGATGACTCTAGTATTTAATACTTTAAACAATGTGAACACAACCTCGGTACAATGCCGAAGATTCACAAGAGCCTTCGAGCGTTTACACGTAAACAGTAGGAGAGTGGCCATCGTAGCTCCGAATCATTATAGCATTATATACTGGACGAAGGTAGACACGTATACTACGACTATTCTCACATATGTTCTATACTGT